TTCCCTGTTGGCATGAATCCACTGGCCCTGTCTTTGGGGTTCGTGGGTCGCCCGGGGACACAGATTAAAACCTTTCCTTTTCTTTCTTTTCTGATTGACTCGGCTCTCTTTATTTCCTACGCCGCCTCCTGAGCCACCTAACAGTCACCATGGTGGGCAATCCCATCCCAGGCCTGTAACTCCTGTAGTGAAGGTTTTAAGGCAGCCCTGTCCATGTTCTCATGCAGCTAAGTTAACACAACTTGGAAATAAGCAAAATCACCCTCAAGGGAGCAGCACATAATGTTGATAACTGTCCTGCAAAATTGTTATTCTCCGCAGCATTTGAGATCTTGCTTCCCCAAATATGGCATCAATTTTGCTCAAATAAACTCATAAAAATTCTCTACAGGTTTGGCCATTTCTTACATTTTTAAAAAACGGGATTAAGTATGTTGATGAAAGTTATAAAGGTAAATTAGGGAGATATAAAGGGGGTGGTGTCGTGTGCTCTATCTTCATTAGCATGGCATTAAGTCAAAGACTAACGAAAACGAACAAATAAACAGCATTTAAGTTCAACTTTTTAGGAATCAGAACTAAGAGCACAACTGATTAAAAGTGGCGGCTCCTAAGGCTGAACTTTGCTTTTCATTACAAACCCTCCTGCCCTAGGTCTTTAAAAAACGCGTGCATTTACAACTCGGATGACGACGCTGATAATTGTGAAAACAATACAGTGGATTCCAAGATCGCTAAGTACAGGGCTAGCTTGGCCTCATTCCAAGTCCGCGCCGACAGCCCGGACCCGGCCCACAGCCGCCTACGCCCCAGGCAGCAAGGATGTCATGATCTTAACAAAAGATAACTCGAGCCTCTCCCCGTCCTTTCTAGATCCAATCTGGGCGGCTTTGGGCAAATCCTACGACCTCCCTTAGCAACCGCGCCAAGCCCACAGGTTCTCCACCCCCAGGACCTTGAGTCTCCTTCCCCGCGCCTCTCCCGGGAGGCCTTTGCGCCCGGACCCGGAAGCGGCCCGGCGGGCAAGTCCCAAGGCGCAGGCGCAATCCTCCTTTACCTGGTTGTCCCGCCCCTTCCCAAGCCTCCAGCCAACCTGTTTGGGCGTCCGGGCCGTCCTTTGCTTCCTTTTTCCGCCCCGCGTGATCGCGAGACGAGGGGCGGTACTGAGCGCGCCGCGCTTCCCCCTCCCTCCCGGCAATTGCTTGAGCAGCTTCCGGGGTCTCTTCCCCGGGTTTTGGGGGGATCGGCTCAGGGCTCCCCGGGCCGTGGTGGGGATCCGCCTTCCCGGGGGCTGACCTGAGTCCAGGAGACCAATCCGGCGCCGCCGCCTCCTGGGCTAAGGCCGCTCACACGCCCGGCTGCCGCGAGGAAGGGGAAGGGGAAGGGGCGGGCCTGGGCGGGCCGGGGGCGGGGACTCGCGCGGTCCTGGGGCAGCTCCTCGGCCCGGCCGGCGCCGGAGATTCTGACAACCTTCGTCGACGCCGCCTCGCCCTCCGCTGCTCCCGATGGCTGTCACCATGAATGAGGACCTGCGCCGGGAGCGGGCCTCGGCCACCTTCAACCCCGAGCTGCTCACGCACATCCTGGACGGCAGCCCGGAGAACACCCGGCGACGCCGAGAGATCGGTGAGGGCTGCGGGCCAGGCCTCCCTCCGTACAGTGTGGGGGTGCTGTAGGACGTAGGCTCTGGCCCAGCTTTGGGGGGAGCCGGGACCCCCGCTTCCGGGGGCGGCTTGTGGGGGGGTCGACCATCCACAGAGGGGACTGGGCCGTGACTCTGAAACCAGCTGGGATTCAGGGCGGTGTAACGGAGCCCAGCATGTCTGTCTTCGTCTCGATGCCCTTTAATCCCTTGCAGAGAACCTGATTCTGAACGACCCAGACTTCAAGCATGAGGACTTGAACTTCCTCACTCGCAGCCAGCGCTACGAGGTGGCTGTCAGGAAGAGTGCCACCCTGGTGAAGAAGATCAGGGAGTTTGGCATCTCAGACCCTGATGAAATCATGTGGTTTAAAAAGTAAGTATGCCCTCGCGCAGATCCCGTTTTCATTGCAAAAGCCCACACTTGACCTCCGCGGTCTGCGGGTGCGTTTTCCCCGTGCCCGGTGTTGGAAGACTCCAGCGGCCTGTTTGCAGCCGCCTGAAAGTTGTGTGTGTGGAAGAGAATGTTTACCTTTGCACCGACGCCCTTTAGGGAATGGCACCGTGGAATGCTGATAACCAAGTGGTGACCCTGCAGTTTTCATTCTCGGGAATCGTACAGATTCTTTCCGCCCGGAGCCTCAGTTTGAGTGATTCCTGTTCAGAATGCCTTCGCTTTTGGTGGGAAGGAGGCTTGCCGCATTTAGATGCTGGATTCCGGGGGAATTGTCAGTTGTGAGCCCAAACATTTAAGTATTTCGTAGCAATGACATTATATTTTTCTAGGGTAGAGTAGAACTTGAGCTTCAAATAGTGGAGAACGGGATGGATGAAGAACATTAGTCAAACCTCAGAATAAATATAAAGGGCCCTAAGGAGGCGGCATTGTGGAATCTGGTGTTAGTGTTAAACGGTTCTCTGGTGCGTATGAGGCCTCATAAAAACACCCCGAGGTCCCAGCGCCGAGCAGGGTACCTTCCTTTTTTCAGACCATCCGTGTTTTGTTGTTGTGTTTTGTTTTTTAATTGGAAAAAATGCTCTTTGTTTTTGCCTTTATCTAAGCAAATACTCTATAATTACATGATCTTATTAATACCAGATTCCCTTTGGCCTGTAGCACCCCTTACACTTCTCACTTATTCCTGGGCATTTCCTCTTTTAGGTTTCTGTATTTTAGAAGAACTTCAATATTTTCATCAATAAAGATTAAATATGATGAATAGTGTATATTCAAAAGCCAAGAGAAAAATGAAACATGTTAAAAGTTTTGCCTTTATGTAGTAATGGTCATTTCTCCCATAATACTGCCTGTAGTTCATTTGGTATCTAATATTTTTCTAAAATTTTTTTTTAAGAGGAAGGGAGAGGGAGAGAGAGATAGAAACATCAATAATGAGAGAGACTCTGATTGGCTGCCTCCTGCACGCCCCCCCCCCCCACCCCCCCACTGGGGATCGAGCCCCAACCGGGCATGTGCCCTGACCTGGACTTGAACTATGACCTCCTGGTTCATAGGTTGATGCTCAACCACTGAGCCACACCGACTGGGCTGGTATCTAATTATTAACTTTACCTCGCTATTATTGTCCATGTGAAATAATTTACTGTGGCCCTTAGCACTACCCGCAGAATTCCTTTCCATTTTGTTATAAAAATACAATTAATTTACTTTTGGTAGCCCCAATGAAGAGTACTTACTCCCAAATGCGCTTTTGTTCTTGTTAAAGGTTGTAGCTCATGGCTGGGGGGGATATTGAGGTGGAACAGTGATTTTCAACCTTTTTCATCTCATGGCACGCATGAACTCATCACTAAAATTCTGTGGCACACCAAAAAATGTTATATTTTTTGCTAATCTGAAAAAAAAAAAAAAGGTATAATTTTGATTCATTGACACCAGACGGCTATTGTTGTGTTGGCTATTGTCATTTTTATTTTTTTTATTTGACAAGAAAAAAGAAGTCAGTGCTCCTGACTAAGTGGTCAGATATTATATTTTTTGTTTTAGAGAACTTTTAAATTTTTCTTTATTTCTTTTATTGATTTTAGGGGGAGAGAGAGAAACATTGATTTGTTCTACTTATTTATGCATTTATTGGTGATTTCGTATGTGCCCTGACTGGAAATCAAACCCCAAATCTTGGCATGTCAAAACAATGCTCTAACCAGTTGAGCTACCTGGCCAGAGCTGGTATCGCATGTTTTAAAAACTCTTGGGACACACCAGTGCGCCTCTTGCCGCACCCCTGCTGAACATCACTGAGGTAGAGCAACTCCCTAGAAGATTATGTTTCTGAATTACCCAACATGGGTTTGTAAACCTTAAAATATCACTAAGATTTTATTATTCCTTAAGATAACACAAAAACAGAGGTTTGTTTTGTTTTGCTTTTAAACGGTTGATGCAATGTAGTTCAGAGTTGGTTAGACGATTTCATCATCTGTGATGGTAACCAGACTCAAGTGAAGTCATGAGGAAATAGGACAGAGTCCTTTATGTGGGTTAAAGATTAATGGACAACAGGCAGTTTGGTATTATTTTTCCTGACGTAGACCTTGCTGTTTGGGGATTAAAGGACAAACTTTAACAGGCCCTTTGACATCCTTCCAATATCCATAGGATATTATGACAGATCAATATGTTAGCGAAGGGGATTGAAAAGTAATCTGGGCAAGTAGTGAATGCCAAGTCTTAAGCCTCCTTTGAATGTAACTGACACCCACGTCTTAGATAACTAAGCCAGGTAGCTATGACATGGCTTAAATTGTGAGACACATCACATTTCTTAAATGCTAAAATGGGGGTGGGGCGTGCTAGAATTGATGGAAAACTAGAGTATTTCTCTTTCTGGGGATTTTGGGCATTTATTTACTGGTCTCTTTTACATCCACTTTTGAAGGTGACTGACTATTAGTAAAACAACTTTGAAATTTCTCAACTTGAGCAACAAAAGAATTTTTCAGTCTTTGAGAAAATAAGACCTTGCTGTTGGGGGAATATAAAAGCTGTTTTTCTAATCCCCTTTCCTGTAATTTTGTCTGTTAACTAGATTATTTGCTATGAAAAAACTAAGTGTTCTTAAGAGTAATTTAAAATTCTAATGAGAATCAGCCATGGATTTTGTTACCTTTTTTAGGTTTTTATTTATTTTTTATTGATTTTGAGAGAGAGAAACATCGATTCGTTGCTGCACTTATTGATGTCTCATTGGTTGCTGCTTGATGTGCCCTGACCAGGGATTGACTTGGCGTAGCAGGACCACGCTCTAACCAACTGAGCCACCTGTCGGGGCCCTTAGGTTTTTAAAGCCGGTTCCTGGGAAGCATCTTCAGGAGAAATTAAACAATAACTTAAAACCAGCACTCAGCCCTGACTGGTTTTCTCAGTGGTTAGAGCGTCAGCCTTTGGACTGAAGGGTCTTGGGTTCGATTCCTAGTCAAGGGCACGTACCTTGGTTGCAGACTTGATCCCGGCAACCAATCAATATGTGTCTCTCTCATCGATGTTTCTCTTTCTCTTCCCCACCCCCGCCTCCCCTCCATTCTCTCTAAAAAAAATCAATGGAAAGAATATCCTTGGGTGAGGATTAAAAAGACAAGCACTCAGATTTTGTTCTTAAGTTGATTTTCTCTCTCTTTTAAAAAAAATTTTTTTTTATTGATTTCAGAGAGGAAGGGAGAGATAGAAACATCAATGATGAAAGAGAATCATTGATCGGCTGCCTCCTGGGGATCAAGCCTGCAACCCGGGCATGTGCCCTGACTGGGAGTCGAACCGCTGACCTCCTGGTTCATAGGTCGACGCTCAGCCACTGAGCCACGTTGGTCGGGGATTAAGTTGATTTTCAAGGGGCCTCCAAAAAAACCCACACAGCTCAGTATGTTATTAAGAACATAAATATCTGGCAGTCTCTATTTCGTGTCACATGTTTTCCCACTCAGTTTCCTAGAATTTTGTGGGTGCCATTGTCATCATTTTATAAACCCACAGCCTCAGTTCCCTCTTGAAAGTAGGAGTGTCTGTTTTTGGCACCATGTTTAGCGCCTACGTGACTGCTTGCATTTCTCAGAAATCTCCTAGGCTCACTTCCTCCTTTGGTAAGACACTCGTTAGGGATGCTCTGATTCTCCTCTTGCCTTTGAGAAGGACTTCTACACTCAACCGTGTATTGGCCTCGCTCCTAGTCAGTGAGGTGGGGTGTGTTTGTGAAGTGTGTGACTTCCCTCCGGGCAGCAGTAGTGCTGCTAACCCGAGTTACTGGGAGAGCAGCTCCCCTCTCCTGTTCACACTCCTCCTTCCCCTCTCTCCCTCTCAGTTTCAGTAACAGTTGATATTGCTGTAAAAATCAGAGACCGTGAAATAAATAAATAAGTAAAAATCAGAGACCGTGGGTGATGGCTAGTCCAGGTGTTCCTTGGGTGTGTGAGTCTGTCCCAGCACCTCTGGAGGGTGATCTTCCCCCCGAAAGATGGTGGGGTGATTTCAGGGCCTCTGCAGAAGTGAAAAGGGGCAGCCTACCTTCCTGTCCCTTCATTCATGCTCTGCTTGTACAGACCAGGACACTGGCGGCAACACCACCTCCTCTTTAGCCCTTGAGAAGTCATGAACATCAGTTGTTTATTTTGTACTTCAGGCACTTTGGACAGACAGACAGATGGGACAAAATAGGCCCCTATAAAATCTATAACGCACTGTAGCCAAGGCTGGCTGTGTAATTTGTATTTGATTATTGCACAGCTTCTGTTTTTGAGAAAATAGTTGAAGACTGAATGTTATTGTGATTAGAGTTCCTTGAGTCCGGAGTAATTTTCAGAGACCATTGGCGATAGTTCAACAGGCTCATCGTACCTGCTGACCCATCTGTAAACTCTGGAGGCCTTTAGCGATCTCCCGCCCTGGAACATAGAGCTACTTGCCAGCCTGGATGTTCGCTTCGGTTATCTAGGGAAAGGTAGTTTGCATCCTTCTTTTCTTTTCATCGGCAATATGTTATTATGCGTCTCTAAGAGAACTCTCTTTTTAACATAGCCACAATAGTGTTGGCATGCAGAGAACATTAACAGAAATTACTTAATGCATCAAATATCCAGTTGGTGCTCACTGTCCTGACTGTCTTATACTTTTTTGTGTGTGTGGGTTTTTTTTAAATTGACTTTTATGGGGTGACATTGGTTAATAAGATTATACTAGTATAGGTTTCAGGTTTACGGTTTCATAATACATCATCTGCACATTGTATTGTGTGATCACCACCCCAAGTCGAGTCTCCTCCCTACATTCTTCTTTAGGATTTTTTGTAACAGATCTACAAATGTATGGAATTCTTTTGATTTTTCAAATAAGTAAAACCTGAAATAAAGCAAAAATAAAGACACCCCAAAAAATCCAACCAATCAAACCAACAGAACAAAAAGCAAAAGGTGTTTTTAGGCTAAAACGATGTTAGATTTGCTTCCTGGATTAAGTATAGAATTAAAGAGGAATTCTGACCCTGCAATGATAAGGGGCAGAAAAGATACCACTAGGTTCTGCTGTTGGCTCTTGGGTCGTAAAATGGTAAATTTTGCACTTAATTTCACAGGAAGGGGGTTACATGTTCCTCACCTTCATCCTGGGCCACGCCTGGCAGGAAGGGTGGCAGGTGCAGTTTCTAGAGCGAGGCTGAGACCCTTTTCTTTTCTCTCCTGTAGACTACATATGATCAATTTTGTGGAACCTGTGGGCCTCAATTTCTCCATGTTTATTCCCACCTTGCTGAATCAGGGCACCACTGCTCAGAAAGAGAAATGGCTGCTTCCCGCCCAACGACTCCAGATAATTGGCACCTACGCCCAGACGGAGCTGGGCCACGGTTAGTCCACAAATGAGGGTCAGTGGGTAACCCACCGCAGGACTTCACTTACCAGGTGACTCCTGGCATTTGGTTTCTTTCTGCTGCTCAACATTTGGGATTTTATTTTTAAATTGTCAAATGTTACATAAAATCCAGCGCCTCATCCTCTCGTAGATCATTTCCCCCTAAACTGGTCCAGGACTCTGGTCTGAAGCGTCCTTCATTGTCATTTACTGTTGCTCCGTGTGCCCATTTTAACGGGTTGAGCAGTTTCGAAAGATGGGGCTGAATATGTGGCAAAGAGCCCCGTTGTGTTGGGGTCTGATGATTAAAGTGTTGGAAATTCTTGCGAGGGTTAGTGCCTCTCCATCTGGTAGATGCCTCTGCTTTAATCAAATGCGGATTTTAATGGTGGAGGATTGGAGCAGTTAGGCGTCTGACTCCTGATTTCATCGCCCACTAGCGGGGTTATAAGGTGGTTTGAAAAAAAGTCAGTGATTCTTTGCTTCTTTTATACATCTTATCTGTACATGTCCATGGACTCTGCATTATGAATAATTCTCGGTTAAATTGTTCCTAAAAGCCTGGCTACTTGCAAGGTTTGTGTTTGGTCTCGATGTGCAGTAAGTTTGTTTTCATGGACAAGGCCCCTGGCAGGTTTGTGTGTCTTGAATTTGCACTGCCCTGTCTCGTTTCTAATGACCATATTGCTTCCATTATGTAAATAAAGGAGAGTGAAGAAAGGGAAAGAGGATTTGGTGCATTTTGATTTGTGAACTGGTTTAAGAAAATGCTTTTTATCCTAATCCCGAGAGGGCTCCGACTCTGGTTCCGTGGCGTTCTGAATGCCTTGTCGAGCACCTAAGATCGGAGCTTCAGGACGGCCAATCCTGAAGTCACACGCCTGGAGAAAGGGAAGGAAAATCCCATTCCAGGGGCTTTCTGTCTTGGAGTGTGGGGGAGGGCGAGAGGGAGAGGGTGTGTTTTGTAAATAGGTTGTGGTGCAGAACCCGTTTCTCTCTCAGTATGTATCCCTGCAGAATGTTATGATTTAACAGTCATGCTGCTCATAGGAGGCGTAAGATGTAAGCCCTCCTGAGTCTGAATGGGGCTGATGTGTTTTTCTCTTACTGATTGGTCCAGTCCTTCTGCCTCTCTTGATAAAGTACATTCCAAATATATATTTGCCCTAAATTTTGAAGGAAGAGAGGAAAAAGTGAAGACTTGAACTTCACTGTAGTCTACAGTGAAGGAGCCCAAAAAGGAGCCCAAAAATTGGACTAAGGTCCCGTGTTGCTCTGGGCGAGTGTGCGTATGTGAGAATTTTCTTTTCCTTTTGCTTCTGATTTTCAGATATTTTCTTGTATTTGAACCCCTTTGTCTCGATCTCTACAGTTTACTTTATTTATTTATTTTTTTTATTTTTTATTTTTTTAAAATATATTTTTATTGATTTCAGAGAGAAAGTGGCTGCCTCCTGCACGTCCCCTACTGGAGATCGAGCCCTCAACCTGGGCATGTGCCCTTGACCGGAATCGAACCCAGGACCCTTCAGTCCGCAGGCTGACGCTCCATCCACTGAGCCAAACCAGCCAGGGCTCTACAGTTTACTTTAGAGCAGAGGTTTTCAGCTGCTGTGCGAGGCACACTGATGTGCTGCAAGGATTTTTAAAACTCGCGATACCTATTTAGTCAGGGACACGGACCTCTTTTCCCTTAGATTGTCACAAAAAATGACAACAGCCACACAACAATAGCATTCCAATGTGAATGAATCAAAATTATACCTTTCTGTTTTTGTCAGATCAGGAAATGCTAGAAGATATCTGTTGGTGTGCTGCAGGATTTCAGTTATTATGTGTGCCATGAGATGGAAAGGTGGGAAATCACTGCTAGAGAACAGTATATTAGGATTAGGTCGTTTCTTGTGGGAATTTTGTTGCCATTGGCGTGAGTTGTGCTTCACCGACTGCTGTTCTTTTCCAGGGAAGCCAGTCATTCCATTAGTTCATTGAAGTCCTGAGACTTTGGAACTTTGATCAACAACAGTTATCTAAAGTGTTCGCACAGAATTGTCTTTCGCCTCTGAGTAGCCCCTGAGCAGTGGAGAGACTCAGTGTTCTCATGCTCATTCCAGGATTCCCAAGAATCTTAGAATTCCACCCCCTGCCGGCAGCCTCCGTCACCAGCTTTCTCTCTTGCCTCTGTCTTCCCTCTAAATACGCACATGTCTGCGTAGGCACACAGATTCCCACACACATTTGGTCTGTGCGTCGGTGAGCCTAAGGCAGAGGAGAGGGCTGGGCAGAGGAGAGCCCCCTGTCCCCAGGGTTTGCGCGCTGAAGGGATCACCTAGACTGCGTGTGGTCCAGTGTTAATCACGCTGACCAGACGCTGCTCCAGGTCACAAAGCCGGTGGTATGTGTGGTCTTCACAGATGCTTCATCTCTTCAAGTTCTGGTCACTCCCTAGTGATTCTTCTTGCGTGTCGTTTTCTATTACTGACGGTTATCATTGTTATTACTATTAAGGAAAATGAAGCTTATACAGTACGTAGTGATCATCCTTGAAGATGGTGCAGTGTCTTTGCAAATTCCCATCACTAATAAAGCATCTTTCTCCCTCTGAAACTTGAACAGTACTGAACTCGAATTTGTAAGTCACTGGTCTGCTCTGTCTCCCCAACATCTGTCCTTTTCCCGGGTGAGTCTCTTCCTCTTGGGGCTGGCCTGATTTCCCACTGTTAGAAATAACGGTGTCACTTCTTTACAAAACTGTTCTTTGGGTTATGCCTTTAGAATATCTCAAACAAATTACTGCATTAAAGGACATGAACATTTTCTAGCTTTTATTGCATAGTTTAGTATTTTTCCTGAAACATACAACCAGTTTACAATATACTTAGCAGCTTTTTAGTATACTTGTATCTCCATAGCCTCATCAACATGGTTCCTGTAACTTTGTATTGCTACATTAATATGTATCTAAGAGTTAAGAGTTTTAATTTTCCAATGCTAGTGTGCCTAGATATTATTATATGTTTTGGCTTACTGTCTGCATTTCTCAAGTATAAAACTGAATTTTTCTACTTTAAGTATCAATTAAATGGAATATGCATGTTGATCTTTTATGAGTATACTGTACCCTTGGAATATTTTTTCTATTGCCTTCTGTTTCATTAAACATTTGGCTGTATGTATTCAATGCACCCTTCTCTGGGTAGGTGTAAGCGTTCTATTTTCTCCCAATCTCGTTGGCTTGATATTCAATATATTGACCTATGTATGCTATAGAGCAGTGGTCGGCAAACTGCGGCTAGAGTAATGAATGATCCCTTACTGTTTTTATGATTATTAACTCTTAGCTCATCACCATTGTTATGTTCTTTCTGGTTTATCTTGTAATAGTTTTATAATAGTTTCAATTTACTTCTAGGATCTTAAATATATTACAGTCACTTGTTTCTTCCTTTGTTTTTCTCCTGGCATCATACACTTTGGCTCATTGTTCCTTTGTAAGATATTTTAAAATATGATAGGATAGGCCTACTATTGTTACATTTCAAGATACATGTATTTGGTGTACTTGCATACTTATTCTTCTAGATGAATTCTGATTGCAATTTATCAAGTCGTAAAATGTATTCTGCAGGAACTTAAAATCCATGTTACATTAAATCCTTGTGATTTATTGGGAAGTATTAAGTTTATTTAGTCCTTTTAGCCAGGAATCAGCAATTTCTTTTTTGCTCTTATCTTTTTTATTCACATTATTAGGTATATATTTTTTCCTAATTAAATCTTTAATATCCTGAGCTAAGTTACTTAACCCATTTTAAATATTTTGTTGATTTTGTAAATCTCTTCTTTGATGTTTCTACTTGAATGATCCTAATCAATAAGAATGCATGATTTTTTTTTCTTTATAGCCTACAGCTTTTCTTTCTTTTTAAAAAATTTTATTTATTGATTTGAGAGAGAGATCGATTTGTTGTTCCACTTATTTATGTATTCATCCGTTGCTTCTTGTATATGCTCTGACCGGGGATCGAACCCACAACCTTGGTGTTTCGGGACAATGCTCCAACCAACCGAGCTACCCAGCCAAGGCCTTAAAGCTTTTCTAAAATCATTTATGAATGATGGTGTTATTTTTATTTCTTCCTTTCTCTTACATTATCAACCCAATCATTTTATCCTCAGTGTTGTCTGGAAAGGCCTTCAGTGTTATGGTTTTACAAGAATTAACTCTAGTACTTCACCAAGTTAAATGTAAAATCTATAATAATAAAAGTGTAATATGCTAATTAGGCCTCACAAAAGCTGGGGCTGCGAGGGAAGCCCAGGTCCCCGGTGCCTGAACGGCCTGAGGGAAGCCTGGGTCCCGGGTGCCAGAGGGAAGCCGGTGCCAGCAGCCGGGGGAAGGAAGGCCTACTCTTGCACGAATTTCGTGCATCGGGCCTCTAATAATATATAAAGCCCCCGGCCGGGTAGCTCAGTTGGTTAGAGCATCATCCCCATACCCCAAGGTTGCAGCACATGCAAGCATTAACCATTGAATGCATAAATAAGTGGAGCAACAAATCGATGTTTTTCTCTCAGCCTCCCTCCATACCCTTCTCTCTAAAAATAGTTTTAATATAATCTTCATTATGCATAACTTTTCACAATAAATATTTAAGTCAAAGAATTATCTACGATCACTTTCTCCTTGTAACGTGCCTGAATTCCATCCACTTCTAAGTAACATTCCTCAGTCTCAAGAACAGCTTCTGGTTGTAGTGGCTTTGTGGTAGCCCTTGCTGTGTGGTGTTACTCCGTGATACCACGCTCCGCTGCCCGCCTCCCGTGTCTGACGGGGGCCTTTCCTCCCCGGGCGCAGCTCTGGTTTCTAGTTTCTAGTAATGCAAATGCGCCTCTCAGCGCTGCGCTGCGCGCCTGGTCCCCGGCCACCATTGTCAGCCCTCGTTCAAAGAGTTTTTTTCTTTCCAGGTCCCAGGCATACATTTATTTTTCTCCCTGGTCACCGTTCTTTTAAAAACGGGACGGTTGGCGTTCTCGATTGTGAGTGAGAGGTACTCTCTCATCCTTGAGCGTGTTTTTTTTTAACTTTTCATTTTGAAATGATTGTAGATTCCTAGGAAGTTGCAGAAATAGCAGAGAGCAGTCCCGTGGACCTTTCACCCAGTTTCCACCAGCGCTCACATCGTACTGGACGTTTCCAGGGACAGCTCTGGTTTCGTTCGGCAAGTCGCTAGTGTCCTCATCATTGTTCTCAGCCCAGGGACACTAGACCAGAAGATGTGTTCAGGCGATAAGAGTCTTTATTTTCCTTTTAGGGAGGGAGGAGGAAGGGAGAGAGAGGGAGAGGGTCCCACTTATTTATGCATTCATTGCTTGGTTCTGTTCTTGCATGTGTCCTGACCAGGCCAGTAGGGGGCATGCAGGATGCTCTCTCCAATCGATGTTTCTCTCTCTCAAAAAATAAAAAATAAAATAAAAAAAATACAAGGGTATGTAGAAGGCATATAGAACTGTTTCCTATTAAAGATAAACTCACACAAAAGTCTAAGGCATCTGCAGAGCTTAAGTGGAAAAGGATGACTTCAGTCAGTGGAATTAAAATGACTGCGAAGATGCCTATCATTAGTGACAATCCCCATAAACCATACGGAGAGTTTGTTAGCCATGAATCTGTTACTTGTGATTGATTAGATGGTCTTCACTAGAAATTGCATGTTTTTTTAATTTCTGAAATTATTGGGGTGGAGAGCACTGCCAGTTTCTGTATGAAACTGTTTCGATGGCATGGGGCTAGATCTTTATGAGGAACCGAGTGCAATGAGCAGAGCTGAGACGTGGGTGGACAGACAGGAGAGCCCAGCGCGACTGAAATCGGACCCCGGAAAAGCTTCCTGAGAGAACTGCCGCGCTGTCTCAGCATGGCACAGCTCAGACCCCGCCTTCCCCGCACCCACTTCTGATGCCTCGTTTCCTGGGACCGAATGGCCAGCCGGGACCCTCAGCCTTGCTCACAGGGTTTTGTGCTGCACAGGCTTTGGAATCGGCAGTGAGCCCTGCCAGGCGGAGTAATTGCAGAGACAAGTACTGTACGAAAACACTTCCTGCCACTTCAGAGAGATGGAAATTGCCACCAGCGAGGAAGTGATGCAGAAAGGGGCAGTGCTCTTACACCTGGGAAAGCCCCCCCACTAACGCATACTTACAGAAGGTTGTTTTTTTTCTCCTTTCCTTGATCTGTCTGTTCACATTGCTGATTCTCTCCCACCTGATGGCTCTTCTCAAATGCCCACCTTGGCGTGCCTTCGAAGCTTTGTGCACCGAGGGCCTTCGCCCCTGGATCTCCACTTGGGCATGTTCCTGCCCACCTTGCTTCACCAGGCGACTGCGGAGCAGCAGGAGCGCTTCTTCATGCCCGCCTGGAACCTGGAGGTCATTGGCACTTACGCCCAGACAGAGATGGGCCATGGTACGCTGCTTCAGTCTACGTTCTGGGTTGGGCGGGGCGCTGCAGGCTTAGCACACAGGGCGTGCCCGCCACGTGCTAGCGATCGCATGTACAGGCTGTTTACATGCGACCTTTCTGTAGAAGACAGGTTTTTCAACATACAAGTCTTGGCAAAGACATTGCTTTGGTCAGTGAAAGTGAAAGGTTACGTGATCACAGAGATATGCTGATTTTTTCCCCATTGGTTCCCCTTTAGATCAATAATAACAAGTCAGGCCTTGCTAAGTGGGTTTTCAAGCTCACTGAAGTTGCGTAGAATGTATGCATATAGACTCTGAACCCATCTTTCTTCGTTACTGTCTGATTACCCTTACTACTGATACATCATGAACTTGCAGAAATTCCAGAAGAAATACAGATTTATAGTATGTGTGCTCTTTGATTTGCTGACGGGAAGTGAGTGGCTTATATAACCAAAACATGCAGCATTTTATACCTGGAAGTTACTTATGCCTTGATCCAGTAAATTCAGTGAGGTTCTAAAGCTAGCTTCGCCAGAGTTCACAAAAATATTAGCTGTGCCCTGGCCGATGTTGCTCAGTGGTTGGAGGGTCGGCCCTTGCACTGAAGGGTCACTGGCTCAATTCCAGATCCAGGGATCACACTTGGGTTGCAGGTTCCTGCAGGTTCGATTCCAGCCCTGGTTGGAGCGTGTGCAGGAGGCAGCCAATTGATGTGTCCCTCTCACATCAATGTTTCTCTCTCTCTCTCTCTCTCTCTCTCTCTCTCTCTCTCTCTCTCTGTCGGTACTCCTCCCTCCCTCCCTTCCATTCTCTCTAAAAATCAATGGGAAAAATGTTCTTGGGTGAGGATTAACCAAAAAATAAATAACAAGATCAGCTGTGCCTCCAGGCAGTTGGTTTCTGTCTGTCTTTGTCATTCGTTTGCTCCTGGCTTCTCTTTTTCTACTCAGAGGTTTCAGGACATCTGGTCTGTGTATTTGCCATTCGCTCCTTCTTTCTGTGCGACTTCATCTCATGTTATAGCTGCTTTGTCTTTCGGCTTTGGGCTGAATACTGCTTGGCAGGATGTCCAAGGCTCAAAGTGGGATGCCATTTGGTTCAGATGTGCATTTGGAAGCACTTTGTCATCATCGGTTCTGTGTAACGTTATCTCTTTTTCTTAAAAAGCTGCTGCTTTGGTGAGGGGTCTAAGTGTCTGTTTCCTTGGTTCCCAATCTGGGAAGGTTGTGGTCACACGTAAACCGGCCGTGGCTGCTGTTCACCTTGGAAGTTTCTACATGTTTGAGAGTTTCCGTGTTAATGAGATCCATCCGGCGTTACAGAGCCGTGTGTTGTTAGGGAGTGACACTTAGAACATGTTCCTGTGTCTTTAAGAGAATTGGCACATCTGTATTGGGATTTAAAACACTACTCCCTGCCCCTCATGAGTAAACATGGCACGGGGAGCTCTTCCTGGTCACACCAGTGAGCCGGCCAGGGCGGAGTCACCATCCTAGGTCTTTTCCCAAATGTGACACCTTTTTAAGATCTTGTTTGCCATTCTAGCAATTATTCTGAAATAAATTCTCAATTTACAAGACCTTTAACTAGATAGTCTCTTCCTGTCACGTTATCTTATTCTTCGCAGTTGGTGAGGAAAACACCATAGTCTGAGTTGAAATTGGCATCTCACAACTTAGAGGTGGGTTTAAAGGGGCAGTTAACTGTGAAATTCATGCCCTGTGATCTTATGAACTGTGATTCTAAGCTGCCTTTACTTTTACTTCTGGTTGCTCTAAATAATGTTACCTGGTTCAGCACAGGGAGTTATGTATCTTGGTTATCAACCATGGGTGGCTCATCTAAAAACACTGTATTGTCGTTAGAGCTTAGAGGCCTGGCCAGGAGATTTTACTCTGTACCTGTTTTTCCCTTATTCTAGCTGACGTGCGTGCAATTTCTTTCCTTAGGGACGCATCTGCGAGGCTTGGAAACCACAGCCACATATGACCCTGAAACCCAGGAGTTTGTTCTCAACAGTCCCACTGTGACCTCCATCAAGTGGTGGCCAGGTGGACGTAAGTGAGCTATTTCACAGTTACTGGATATTTTAAGATCATGTTTAGAATGGAGAGCGTATATGAGAATATCGTTTTGAAATATAGAAAAAACTCCTTTTTCTTAATAGAAAAACTCTTAAGGCTTAACTATGCTAAGCTATTTCACATTCTCCCGAGCACGTTACAGATGCTCACACCTCACAGAGCGCAGAGAGGAGCGCGGTCTCGCTCTGCTTTTCTGTTTCCATCGGAGCTGTCTGAGGAGTAGCGCAGTTTACATTGTCATCATCCAAGTAACTATACTCCCTGTTTGGTTAGTCATTTCTGTATTGGAAAGCACTTAAGTTATTTTCAGATTTTTATTATAAATAAGTTTGACAAGAAACTTATTTAATATTGTCTTCCATTCCGAGCCATTGTCTTAGGATATATATTTCAGATGGCGTTAGTGCTTGAAGGATTTTGTTATTCACATTATATATTTCAATACATTTTTGTAAGAAACAGAGTAGCATGCAAAAAGAAGACACAGATTCTGGATGTACTAACCAGAAATCTGCCAGTGCTGGCCCTCAAGCCTCTGCATACGGGGCTACTCTCACTGCTGCTCAAGGTGCTGGCCACTGCCGTGCACCCCTGGGGAGCACTCCGAGGGCCGCTGGTTGGCGAGGGAACGGAATCTTTTATTTCATTGTAATTAACATAAATGGTCACGGGTGGCTGGTGGCTACTGCTTTGGAAAGCATTACCTTCTAAATAGTAGAAGAGAAAGTAGAGCTGAGCCATCTTGTAAAATAAATTGCTATCAAGTCAAGGAGTTGTACATCTTAAACTTAGACGCTATTATATGTGAGTTATCCCATTAAAAAGCTTATGCATATATATATGGAAATGAAGGACGGCTGTGCCAAACTGCCATACATTTTAATAACTCTCATCTTACATAGATTTTCTTCTGAAAACTAGGCTGCCATAGAAAGGTTTTCTGCACACTGTTGAGAATCTAGTGTTACATTTAACGTGTTTTCTCTTTTCATTTCTGTCCCTTGAACATGTAAGAACGGCTCTCTTGTGTCTCTTGTGTTTTTGCTGTTGCAGTTGGAAAGACTTCAAATCATGCGATAGTTCTAGCCCAGCTCTACACCCAGGGGAAATGCTATGGATTGCATGCCTTCATTGTGCCTATTCGGGAAATTGGAACCCACAAGCCTTTGCCAGGTTAGACTTGTTCATCTGATATTGAGATGAAAACTCAAACTGACCGCTTTCTTCTGCAAAAAGCATAAGACACAACTGAAGGGGAGGGGACAGCCAGGAATCCCAGAGCGTGGACCCTGGTGACTTTCCTGTCTCCCGTGGTAGGGATCACCGTTGGTGACATTGGCCCCAAATTCGGCTACGATGAGATGGATAATGGCTACCTGAAGATGGACCATTATCGTATCCCCAGGGAAAACATGCTGATGAAGTACGCCCAGGTATGTGAGACCGGAGGAGCAGTGGTGTGGGGCGCGGGGCGCTGTGGCTGGTGATGACCTCAGGGTTCAAAGGGTCTGTTTTTAGGAGCTACTGACATGGTTTTACTTCTGATGCTTCTTCTGTTATGACAGTGAAGCCAGAAGCCGTTGGCAGGTCTGAAGAGCATATCCTGGTCTGCTAAGCCAGCGGCCTCAAACTTGAGGGCGCGTTAGAATCATCTGGAGAGCTGGCTAAAGTCCAGATTGCTTCGCCCCCAGAGTTTTTATTTAATGAGATTTTTATATTTATTTTATTTTATTGATTTTTAGAGAGAGAGGAAGGGAGTGGGGGAGAGAGAGTAACATCAGTGTGAGAGCAGAAACATTGACCGAATGCCTCCTACACCCCCCCATCAGGGATTGAGCCCGCAACCTGGGCCTGTGCCCTGACCAGGAATCAAACCAGCAACTTTTCGGTGCCCAAGATAATGCCTGACCAATCGAGTCACACCGGCCAGGGCTTTCTATTTCAAACAAGTTCCCAGGCAATGCCCATGTGCCGTCTGGAACCTCACTTTGAGAACCGCTAGCCTGAGCTGCCTCCGGTTTCACAGAGGAAGCTGAGCCCGTGTTCTTTTCCAGGTGAAGCCTGACGGCACCTACGTGAAGCCCGTGAGTAACAAGCTGACCTACGGGACCATGGTGTTCATCAGGTCCTTCCTCGTGGGAGAAGCTGCTCGGAGCCTGGCCAAGGCCTGCACCATTGCCATCCGATACAGCGCCGTGAGGCACCAGTCGGAAATCAAGCCGGGGTAAGGGGGTGGGCTGAGTGGGCTCATTACTGAACACCTGGCTTTGAGCCCAGTCAGATACCAAATTCCCAAATGCGGCGCAGAGAAGACGCCCTGGCCATAAACTTAGCGAAGGTGGCAGTGTACTGCGCCTGCTACTTAGAACCTAAGCTTCCTTTTCTTAATGGAAAGATGAGAATACCACCTCATTATTCTTAACCTGCTAAGAAAAGCGGTAATAATATTACTTGAGCTCTACTCATGAAATGTTCAAAACAACAAGGCAGTTTGAAAATTCGGATTGCTACGAACAGCTACAAATCGGGCATGGCGAAAGTGACATTGAACTTGGCTCCCTGTTGTGTCCATGCCCGTAGTTTATCCCTACTACTGCCTTTCACTTGGGCATGACTCCCTGGTAACCTTTCACTCCGAAAGAAGGAATAAAGAAATTGATAAGAGCAGACCTTCTTAGAATTCAAATATTTATCTGTGCATGGGGTCTTCTCCATAGTTGTGGTCAAGATATAATTTATTCAGCCATCTAGTTAGCAGGTTACATCTCTTTACCATGGCCTTCCTCCTATGAAGTTAACTAACTTTGCTTTTGTACGTTGCCATAAGATACACTTTCCCTAGTCATGCTGGAAAGAGAAAGATCTGAACTTCACAGCTAGAAACTGTGTCCACCTAAGACGGGGGTGAAGAGCGTCTTCTGTGGCAACATAGTCTCATTGTAAATCGAGGGTCTGCCCCTTACCAGCTGCGTGAGTGCAGCTAGGGCCTGGACCTCTCCTGTTCCCATCTGTAAAATGGGGTAATACGTGTTACCTCACAGGGTCTTTATGAGGATGAAATAATACCGAGTGCTCAGACTAGAACCCGGCGCAGAGGCAGTTCTGTGTGTGTGTATAACTTTTTTTCCTTTTTCTATGTTTTAGTGAACCAGAACCACAGATTTTGGATTTTCAAACCCAGCAATATAAACTCTTCCCACTGCTGGCCACTGCCTATGCCTTCCATTTTGTAGGCGCCTACATGAAGGAGACCTATCATCGCATTAATGAAGACATTGGCCAAGGGGACCTGAGTGAGCTGCCCGAGGTGCGTGTGGAGGCTCATGCACTCGTGGGCACCCTTCTCTTTCACGTTTGCCTGTTAGTGTCCAGAGGAAAGTACGCGTTGCGATTTCTTGAATGGTCCATATATTCTCAAAAGATCCAAAAAATTCTTCTGATTGAATAGAGTTAGCTATGAAGACATGTAGGGTTTATTTTTTGGTTTTTTATTTTTTTAAATTTTATTGTTTAAAGTATCACAAACAGTAGTACATATGTTTCTTCCCTCCCCCCCATTGTATTTTTTATTTTTATTGATTTCAGAGAGGAGAGATAGAAACATCAATGATAAGAAAGAATCATTGATTGGTTGCCTCCTGCACGCCCCACACTGGGGATCGAACCCACAATCCAGGCATGTGCTCTGACCGAGAATCGAACCACGACCTCCTGGTTCATAGGTTGACGCTTAACCACTGAGCCACGCCAGTTGGGCTGTGGGTTTGGTCTTTAAGTTTCCGAAGTGCTGCACCATGTTGGTCTCCTGTTAATGACGTGGAGACTTTTGCCAAGTAGAGCAGTTCTGAGGGAGTGGGAGTGGGAGTGACCAGGACAGTAGATGCCCACGCTGCTCCCGAGACAAGCATGGCAGGTGATTTGAAAGTGACCAGCGCTGGCAGGGGAGGGTTAGTGTTTCTCCTCGGAACTCAGCTGTCAGCGCACACATTCTGACGACCCTTGCTTGCCCTCAGCTTCATGCCCTCACCGCCGGGCTGAAGGCTTTCACCTCCTGGACAACCAACACCGCCATCGAAGCCTGTCGGATGGCCTGTGGCGGGCACGGCTACTCTCACTGCAGCGGCCTCCCAAACATCTACGTCACCTTCACCCCAACCTGCACCTTCGAGGGAGAAAACACCGTCATGATGCTGCAGACCGCCCGGTGAGAGTCTTTACCGCGATGACTGGCCTGCTAGCTAGAGCGTTCGAGGCCTTTCCACCGGTTCCGGTTACCGTGTTTTCTCTTCACATTAAAGACGTCATTGTGCCTCCTGTCCAGACCCACTCTGTTGATCTTGTGATCAGACTAGCGAGTGTGAAACTCAGCTGTCCCATAACTCACACCTTTTGAAGGTTTGGTTTGGTTTCTGTTTCACAAGAAGCAGGTTACTGAAAGCATGTGTGTTGCTTTAGGTTTCTGATGAAAAGTTACGACCAGGTGCACTCGGGAAAGCTGGTGTGTGGCATGGTGTCCTACTTGAATGACCTGCCCAGTCAGCGCATCCAGCCGCAGCAGGTGGCCGTGTGGCCCACCGTGGTGGACATCAACAGCCCCCACAGCCTCACCGAAGCCTATCGGCTCCGGGCGGCCAGGTGAGCTCCCCCTCGGGGCAGCCGTGGGGCCGCGGGCTGGGGGCCTGAAGGAAGAGGAAGGAGGCGTGGGCACCATGGAGCCCTTCCTCCGAGCTTCAGTTTTCTTTCATTTCTTAACAGATTAGTAGAAATGGCTGCCAAAAACCTTCAGACTGAAGTGAGTCACAGAAAAAGCAAGGAGGTCGCGTGGAACCTGACTTCCGTGGACCTCGTGCGAGCTAGTGAGGTCAGTGATGGCGCTGTGCTCCCGGCCCGGCCTCCCGCAGCCACCCGCCTGGCTCTCTGGCAGAAGCTGTCGCTGGTGGCGACTCCTGCAGAGTTCTCACCTCTGCTGTCCTCTCTTTATCCAGGCGCACTGCCACTATGTGACAGTTAAGCTCTTTTCAGAGCAGCTCCTCAAAATTCAAGATAAGTCCATCCAGGCCGTCTTGAGGAATTTGTGCCTCTTGTATTCTCTGTACGGGATCAGTCAGAAGGCGGGGGATTTTCTTCAGGTCAGTATTTTCTCAAGTTGAAGTCTTTTTTTGGTAGAAAAATGATTGTGGTCTGATGTGTAGTTGTGCATGCATGTAATATATCAGCTGTCTACATACAGGGGTGGGCAACCATAGGCTCGCAGTTGTTCGTATGGAAAAAGACACGCAGGTTACGATGATGACAATAGCGTCCTTAACTCAAAAGAACGACCTGTTTCTTGCAGGAGAACATCCTGACAGACTCTCAGATCACCCAGGTGCACCAGCGCATCAAGGAGCTACTGACCGTGATCCGCCCGGACGCTGTTACGCTGGTCGATGCGTTTGATTTCCAGGATGTGTCGCTGGGCTCCGTGCTGGGCCGCTACGATGGCAACGTGTATGAGAACCTGTTCGAGTGGGCCAAGAACTCCCCGCTCAACAAAGACGAGGTAATCACCTGGGTGATTCTTCGGGTCCATGTTAGACAGCAAAGACCTCTGGGCGGCTCCGTCTGCGAAACCCACCTCGGACAGTCGTTACTCAAGCAGCAGGTTCAGAAGGGAACTGGGTTATTCCTGCAGCGAGCAGGTGTAACTTCCTTGACTATTTCGTAAGTCGTTGAAGTTTTTCAAACATGCACAAAAGGAGAAGACTGCGCTGCAGGGCCACGTGCCCTTTCTCATGCTGCCACCACTATCTACTTTTTTAAAAATATATTTTATTGATTTTTCACAGAGGAGGGGAGAGAGATAGAGAGCTAGAAACATCGATGAGAGAGAAACATCGATCAGCTGCCTCCTGCACATCTCCTACTGGGGATGTGCCTGCAACCCAGGTACATGCCCTTGACCAGAATCGAACCTGGGACCCTTCAGTCCGCAGGTCAGCGCTCTATCCACTGAGCCAAACCGGTTTCGGCCACCACTGTCTACTTACGGCCAACCTCCACCCTCTCCTCCTAAGGATTATTATTATTTTTAATTCTTTATTGTTGAAAGTATTACATATGTCTTCCTTTTCCCCCATCGACCTCTCCCCCAGCACAAGCCCTCACCCCCCTACTGTCCGTGTCTATTGCTAAGGATTATTTTGAACAGATCTAAGATGCCAGATAATTTTATCCATAGATATTTTAATAAATACGAATCTCTAAAAGATAAGGATTATATCATGAGCTACTCCTTGTCCAGAGCTTCCCAGTTGGCTCAATTCTGTTTTCCCCCCTTCAAATTCTTTGGATCAGGATCCAGATAAGGCCCTGATGATTTCTTGGTTAAAAGTATGCTCTTTTAGCCCTGGTCGGTGGCTCAGTGGTTAGAACATCAGCCAAGCACTGAAGGGTCTCAGGTTCCATTCCCAGCCCCAGTCCGATGTTTCTCTCTTCTCTTTCTTCTCTCTTTTCCCCCCTCCATCCCTCCCTTTCACTCTCTAAAAATCAGTGGGAAGAATATCCTTAGGTGAGGATGAACAGCAACAGAAAGTGAGCTTTTACACTGCAAGCTCCTGACGTGTCATTTCTCCCCCTCCCTTCCCTCAGGTCCATGAATCTTTCTACAAGCACCTGAAGCCATTGCAGTCCAAGCTCTGAAGGTCACGACCTCAGTCCTCCACGCCCCTGCACCCGCCACACAGACCTGCTCGGAATCTTGATCCAATGCAGAGAGCTTTGGAGCACATGATAAATGGACCCTTTCCTCTTTATGAATGAAGAAAACAATGACCAGCTTTCAGAGATTAAATGAAAAAACAAATGTTTTAAGTGCAATTAACACTAAAAGAGACCTGCTAAGCATTCAGAAAAAGCTTTAAGAAATGCAGTATGATTTCCCTTTGTAACGCTGCTGATCCCAGGCCATAACTTTTGATAATTCATAGGGTTTAACTACTAAGTAGTTAATTTTTCACTTCTTAATTGCTAATCACTGGATAATAGTGTTTTTAAGCAAACATATTTTTGAAGTGGGGTAGCACCCTTCTGAGCTTTCCTGCTGAATGCCCTACCCCTCCCACCGTGGGCCCTGGCTTAGAAGCAGTTCCGAAGAAAACGGATGGGAGAAGTAAAGTAATCAGGAAATTCGGTGTGAGTCCAGCTGGACACATTTCTGCCTGCTTGCCCTTGACTGCTGACGTATTTTCTAATTGTTCACAGTAGCGTTTGTCCAACACAAGGATTTCTTCAGTACAGGCCCACTGCGAGGTCATGGTCCTGCGCAACTGGGAATTAATCTTCCATTTGCAGGATTGTCACTGTAGTAGCACTGCATCTCCCTTTGTCCCCCCCATCTTGGGAAGAGGTAGGTAGCAAGGTTATCTCATAGGACCTTTGGCAGTGATGGGACTTTAATCAGTGGTGTTTGATCTCCCGCCCGCCCTCCTCCCCTAACCTCCTGAAGGAGGTGCTGAAGAAAGGAGAGAGCCACCGTTCCTTCCTGGTGGAGTGAGTGTAGGGAGAGCTCTCGGTCACGGTTACTGTGACTTGGTGGCCATGTTCACTGGAAAGCCTGGAACAATCCAGATTTCATATGTGCTGTCATTTTGGCTAAACCATGAACATGCTTGGAGGTTCCAGCACCCGGCATGACAGAAGTAAAAGCATCCCTCAGGCTGCCTCTGACACCCCGGGTACCACAGGAAAACCCTTGGCAAACCATGTGTTCTGATTTTGGATCAGAAAATAATCATTGGAACTATGGCTGAAGGATAAATGGAAGTTGCATAGAATCTGTTACTTACTGTACATCTGGTTTTATTTTCAGTATGTTTCTAGGAGTTTTATCTGAACTGCTAAATTGTCCTTTCAACTGAAATCTAATTTACACAATCATTCTATATGTAAAGGGTAAACGTGTATGTCTTAATGAGTTTTATTCTTAAAATCAATGTAAAACTACACATCACTTGATTTTAATTTTTTTAACCTGCTAACGGTGTCTGTGAAACCAGTTGTTTCTGCCTCAGGAAGCTGTTGTCCTAGAACTGTCTTGAGGAAGTGCTGTAGTTCATGGAAATTCATTCCTACCTGGGACATAAAATCTGTCCCAGTGATCGGAGAATAAATCGGAGAATTTTAGGCCCAGCAGGAATGCTTGTCTGTCGACACCAGGAGGATTCATTGATAATTGTGTTAAGATTGAAGTAAAAAGCACCATGGTCATCTCATTTGAGTATTTCTTGACAGTAGTTCAGATTCTGAGAAATAATATTTAAATTACTGGATATTGACCTGTTAAATACAGAATTGTTTCACAATCAGTGCTTAAGCACCTTACCCACAGATGAACATCTGTAATCATGATCTGTGTTTGAAATACATGCACCTAATAAAAAACTAAATCTGATATTGGATACCATTTTTATTAATATTGGAATGTTTTGTCTTGAACTTTACTCACTGTAATCAAAGAATAAAGATGTAGTAAAACCTCACTAATTTGTAGTGTCAAGAGAGCAAGAGTGTACCACATAAACATAAGTTCAAATTATGAAGAACTTGAAGTAATGGGCTTATTAGGTTTAGGTAACACTGAGAACAGGAGTGAGGCTGCCTGAGCCAGCAGCCTACCATCCGCTGTCATTGCCGCCATTGTCTCGGGAGCCAGGAGCGCTCTGGTCCACTTGGGAGACCTGTTTTTTGTTTTTAAATATATTTTATTGATTTTTTACAGAGAGGAAGGGAGAGAGATAGAGAGTTAGAAACATCGATGAGAGAGAAATATCTATCAGCTATCTCCTACTGGGGATGTGCCCACAACCCAGGTACATGCCCTTGACCGGAATCGAACCTGGGACCTTTCAGTCCGCAGGCCAACGCTCTATCCACTGAGCCAAACCGGTTTCGGCAGGAGACCTGTTTTGTTAACTGCTGAACAGGAAGCGGCAGATCCAGTCTGCTGTCCCTGAGAAGGCAGACTTGGCCATCGGTAAGTTTGTGTTGGGTTCTTTAGTGTAAATTAGATTTTCAAAGAGTACAAAGGTAAACTTCAACCTCGTCTCCTCCAAAATGATGGTAAAGACTGAGTAAAATTAGTAAGGTTTTCCTATTAGATGATACTGACCTAAGTTTCTGTAAAAGTACTCTGAGCAGTGCTCAAAAGTTTGAGGTTTCTCTCTCATCGATGTTTCCAACTTTCTGTCCCTCTCTCTTCCTCTCTGTGAAAAATCAAATATATATATATATATATGTCATGCTGAGTACAGATAGAGAAAAATATATTTTTAAAAAAAGTTTGAGGTTTAATAGGGAACTTTTGCTCTTTGTAGCGGATGAAAGTTGATTCTTCCTCGGGTTTGGAGCTGTCTTCCCTGTTAGGTATGTGCTGAGGGGCACTTCAGTGTTTGCACCGTAGTGACCTCAGGACACGTGGGGCCCGTCCTGGATGTGGCTGCAGCATCACTGGCTCCAGAACACTTCCCTTGCGGCGTGAACTGTGTTGACGTGCGCTCTGAGAACTCACGGCCCGGAATTTCAGGGTCTCTCTCCCTGGAGGCATTTTGTATTCTCGAAGTTAACATGTTAGATCTTAATTCTTGCCTTTCTTCCGTGAAGGGCTTTGGCTGGAGAAATAGAACTGTTCAGGTTCACGACCCCAGGAGTTCTCTGGGGAATGCTGCTCGGTCCTTGCTCCCCTTTCTCAGTTCTTCCCGTCCATCTTATCAGGGAGAGAGTAGATGCAGATCTTTCTAATGCTGCTGGTCCTTTTACACACGTGGAAGCTATGCCTGGAGTTAGAGGCTGCCTTGAAGCAGCAGCTGCTCCTGCGGCTGGAGAAGGAGCAGAGCCAGGAAACTGCTTATTCTGCCTGAGCCTAGGAGTCGTTGATTCTCCTGATGCCCATAAAGGTTTGGTCATTTTCATGGAGCAACACAGAGATCATCTCAACTCATTGAATGTTTATTACTCAGTATTTTACTTGGAGGATTAGAGCAAGTCATAGGTAAATGACTAAAGATTTTTTCGTTTTAAAATGGTGGTGGTGGTTTCCCCCCACCGGTGTGGCTCAGTGGTTGAGCATTGACCTATGAACCAGGAGGTCACGGTTCGATTCCTGGTCAGGGCACATGCCCGGGTTGCAGGCTCGATCCCCAGTGTGGAGGCGTGCAGGCGGCAGCCCATCAATGATTCTCTCTCATCTGCGTTTCTCTCTCTCTCTCTCTGAAGTCAATAAAAATGGTGGCAGTGGTGTTTTGCTTTTAGCTGTGCATACTTAGTAAATTTGTCAGTAACTATTTCTGTGGCCCATGACAGTAAACAGAATTATAAAGACTCTTTGGAGTGAGTTACCAGATGTTAGCTATTGCAGATCTGCACATTCCTAGATTCTAAGGGGGGGTTGTTTGTGTGATTTTGCCTTAAGTTTAAGTGAACTATTCACTGTCTCAGGAAGATCATGGAAAATTGGAAGTGATTTTAAGAATTCTGAACCAGCCCTGGCCAGGTAGCTCAGTTGGTTAGAGCATTGTCCCAGTAGGCCAAGGTTTGTAAGCTCAATCCCCAGTCAGGACACATACAAGAACCAACCAGTGAATGCATAAATAAGTGGATGAGCCAAACCGGTTTCGGCCAAATTTTTAACCCTTTGAGTGCCAACCAATATCCTAGGAACTGTGCTAAAATTGCCAAGGCATTTTTGCTGATTTTACAGCAGTTTAGGAAAAAAATTATGAATCCCAAGTAAATGAAGTTACATATTCAAAAACTTAAGGAAACCTTTACTACATTTGTTTTCATCTTTGACATATTGTTTGCTGATTGTATTATAAAATACTAGTAGAAAAAAAAATTTGAACAAAACATATAATGTTAAAATAAAGTGCTCCCAGCTCTTTTGGCGAAAGACACTCAAAGAGTTAAAAAAGAATTCTGAACCAAAATAAGTTGTTTTGCCACAATACTCTTGACTTTCATAGATTAGGTAACAAATGTGTAATCTTCCACATAATATTCAGGCTGCTGACTACTACTTTGTGAAAACCATTTTATTTACAATTGCTGTGGATTCAAGGGTAGGACTTGTATCCGTTGGAATGTATAATTTCTTTGGGACCCTTTTCCTTTTACTTGTGGTTTGAGTTTGGTTCCTGCCTGACATGTTGCATTTAGCTTGCGTTGTTGCCCGTCCCTGGCTGGACACTCAGCGGGGACGGGAGGACAGTCAGGTGGGCGGGTCCATAGCATGTCAGTCACGGTTGGACAGGGGTGAGCCACCAACACTGCGGGTAAGCCAAACCACTCACCACTTTTCCCTTTGTTAAATCGAAAGACCCTTAATAAAACCTGTAATTAACACAAAACGTGTTGTGTGTCTTTATTGGGGATGGTACTGGGTTTCACTCTGGCGTTGCATCTTTGATTTTCTTCATTGAACAGTTAGGTCACAGCCACTTCCCTAAGCTTTGGAATGTGGGATACATACATAATTATGGCTTAACGTGTCAGTCTTCCAAACTTAACACATTTCTCACGCCCTCCCGGTCAGGAGTCAGCCCACAGAAGAGTGTCCTGTCTTTGATCCCAGATGTATTCTCCTTGGAGCCAGGGGCCCTCTTCCAAAGTGGCGTTGAGGCAGCTCCTAGCAACGGCCGGCCGAGTAGTGAGCCGCGGCCGGGTTTCGGCTAACGGCTGCGACGGGGCACCCTGGGAAATGTAGTTCATCTTAGCGTCTCCTGTTCCGTTGGTCCGGGCAGGTGAGCGGGTCTCAGACTACAACTCCCAGGATGCCTCGTGCCTCCTCTTTCGAAAGCCGGGCGACTGAGAGCTGGGCATCGGCTGGGTTCCGAAGCGGGAGGCCTGACCGAGCTGGGCCGGGACCCGGGGCTATGGCTCGGACAAGTCCCAGGGGCTGCTCCCGCGAAGGGAAGGGCGCGTAACGCGGGGGTTGCCAGGGTCTGGGAGGGTCGTCGGCTGCGCTGCGGTCGAGATGGGCTGGGTGCGCGGAGGGACGGACAGAGGGACGCGGCATCGGGACCGAGGGGTGCCCCCGGGAGGACCCTCGCTAAGGGGCAGGCTCGGGGTTTTAAAACGACGCACGGAGTTGGCCGAGCGGGTACGACGACATGACGGTGCTCGTGGCCCCGTGGCCTTTGTCGACCGTTAGACATCCCCGCGGTCTGGAAGGCTGGGACCCGACCCACCGAGTGACCGGAAGGGCCTGAATGTGCTGAGACAAAGCGCGTTTGCACGTTTAGGTCGTGAAAATGGCCATTACAGAGAAAAAGAAACACGAACATTCAGAGTAGCCCCTGTATGTAACCCCAGATAAACTTTGCATCTAATAACAGGACAGGCCGACAGCGGAGAAACAAGATGACCCCCTCTGACCCCTTCCTTCCAAGGCGGGCCGCAGGTCGGTTCCGGGGGCGCGGGGAGCGGGTGGGGGGGGGGGGCGGCCACGGAGGAAGAGTGATCGTTCTCGGGAAAACCGCCCAATACATGGGGCGAGACGGGTGTGTAGCTGGTGTGAAGGAAGAAATTTCCACGTGAAAGTGTGTCCTGCCAGGGAGTAGCCAGCGCTTGGCCCGCTGTTGGTGCCGAATGCCTCCTGGACAGTCCTGGGGGGGCCCGGGAAGGGGCATTGGCCACAGTGCCAGGCCCCCCACCTCCTCTCGGAGACGGGTACCAGCCCTCTCAGCATCCTCTTTCCGGTAAGGGATGCGAAAAACTGCACTTTATTGGAGTCGACACCGGCTCATCAAGTGACCGAGCGCGCTTTGCTGCTCACCCGAATTACTCCCCCTCGAAGGAACTTTTAGGAAGTAGGTTTCGCCCTCTATTGAACGGGCCAAGTGAGAGAAGCCTTGATAGGCCTCCGGCTCGAGCGTGGTTCGTGCCGTCCTTTTCAAACAGCCACTTTAAGTTTCTTCCTCAGGGAGCAGGAGCCTGGTGTGGGCAGAGT